TGAGGTGTTTCAGGCACGTCCCACCGGGAGGAGGCCCCAGGTAAGACCCAGGACACACTGGAGGGACTACGTCTCTCGACTGGCCTGGGAACGCCTCGGGATTCCCCCGGAGGAGCTGGAGGAAGTGGCTGGGGAAAGGGAAGTCTGGGCCTCCCTTCTTAAGCTGCTACCCCCACTACCTGACTCTGGATAAGTGGCAGAAGATGGATAGATGGATCCATGCTTTAGAATCAGTGATACAATCAGGGAGAGAGGTTTAACCAAAGATGCATTGTCATCCACCGCAGATGAAATGGGACACCACTTTACACATCAAACTTTGTCATTGAGAATTCAGTGATTCTTGAGAAGAGGGACAAAACAGGTCCTATAGATGAAGCGCAAACTTTGAATAAAATATAAATCAAATCAAATCAAATTTTATTTGTGTGGCACATTTCAGCAGCAAGGCATTTCAAAGTGCTTTACATCATAAACACATGAAACACAAAGTCATGCATCATGGCTTATGAAATATGTAACAATACATTGTTACATATTACATTTCAAAAACAATTCTAAACAGGTGCGTTTTTAGTTGAGATTTAAAGGAAGTCAGGGATTTCGCTGATTTACAGTTTTCTGAAAATTTGTTCCAAATTTTTGGTGCATAGATCCTGAAAGTTGCTTCTCCTCTCTTGGTTCTGGTTCTGGGGATGCAAAGCAGACCAGAACCAGAAGATCTGAGAGGTCTGGAAGATTGATACAACAACAGCAGATCTTTAATGTATTGTGGTGCTAAACAGTTCAGTGATTTGTAAACTAACAACAGTATTTTAAAACCTATTCTTTGAGCTACAGGGAGCCAGAGTAGTGACTTTTAAACTGGTGTTATGTGCTCCATCTTCCTGGTTTTTGTGAAAACGCGAGCAGCAGCGTTCTGGATCAGCTGCAACTGTTTGATTGATTTGTTGTGAAAACACTGTTACAATAATCAATGTGACTAAAGATAAATGCATGAATGAGTTTCTCTAGATCTGGCTGAGACTTTAGTCCTCCAATCCTAGAGATGTTCTTCAGGTGATAGAAGGCCGACTTGGTAATTGTCTTTATGTGGCTCGCAGGGTTCAAGTCCCAGGTTTCGGGCCTGATTGCTAGTTTTTAGTTGCAATAACTGAAGCTGTGCATTGACTTTAGATCGTTCCCCTTTAGGTCCAAAAATAATGATTTCAGTTTTGTTTCTGTTCAGCTGGAGAAAGTTTTGGCACATCCACACATTTATCTGTTCTAAACATTTATTCAGTGATTGGATAGTTTAGAGTCACCTGGTGACATCGTAATGTATACGTCGTCCGCATAGTTGTGGTAGCTAATATTAATTTGCACTGAGGTCCAACAGAACCAGCACCATGATTCTCCCACAGTCCGTATTTATGTGGATATCATTGAATACTTTGACTAGGCCAGTCTCCGTGCTGTGGTAAGCACAAAAACCAGATTAGAAAGAGTCAAAGCAGTTGGTCATCATGAGGACACTATTTAATTGTTTACACACAGTTTTTCAATAACTTTGCTGATGAATGGGAGATTTGAGATCGGCCTGTAATTCTGCAGTAGTGATTTGTCCAGATTGTTCTTTTTTAGCAGAGGTTTGACTGCTTTTTTCAAAGCCTAGGTAAAACACCTCATGTGAGTGATGAGTTTAATATTTGGATCAGATCAGTAGCAATAACAGGCTGGACTTTCTTAAAGAATGTGTGGGTAGGACATCCAGACAGCAGGAGCTTGAACTTAATTGACTTATAATTTCTTCTAGGGTTTTATAATTAAGTAGTTGAAAGTGGGTCATTTTTCCTGTATTTGTTTTGTTTGGGTACAGCAATGGTTCTGGACATCTTTGTCCATATCAATGGTTGATGTGCAGATTAATCCTCTGATTTTTTTGAATTTCCTCTGAAAAGAAGCTAGAAAACTTGTTACAGGCAGCATTAGATTGGAATTCAGGTGGTAGCGTAATAGGAGGGTTTGTGAACCTGTCAACTGTTGCAAATAAATTTCGAGCATTGTTAATGTTTTTGTTTATGACATCTGCAAAGAAAGCCTCCTCTGCATCTTTTAGTGTTGAGTGATAGTTATGTAGTCTTTCTTTATAGATGTCATTATGAACGTGAAGTTGAGTTTTACGTCATTTTTGTTCTGCCCTGCAACAGAGCTGTCTTGCAGATTGTACTGTTTGTTCTTTTCTCCATGGAGATTTCTTCCTACCAGACACAACCTTTACTTTAATTGGGGCAATAGAATCAATGATATATAAAACTTTAGACTGAAAATCATCTACCAACTTATCTACAACTTATACACTAAATATATTTTTTTAAATATCTGACCAAACTAATATGGGCAATGTCAGCACAACAATGTATGTTTTCCTGGTGTTTGCTGAACATTTTTCTATTTTAAACTTTGTAGTAGGTGGATGATGTTTGTGAAATCCCTTGTTCTGGAGCAGTTCTGGATACACTGTAATAGTTTAAAACTATATATATATCTATATATCTTTATATATATATATATATAGATATATATATCTATATATATAAATATATATATATATATATATATATATATATATATATTATATATATATATATATATATATATATATATAGATATAGATATAGATATAGATATATATGTATATATATATATATATATATATATATATATATATATATATATATATATTGTTTTAAACTATTACAAACTATTACAATCTATAACAGTTTGTATTAGAAGTAACGAATGTAAGAATGTAAGAATGTAAGAAAGTTGTCTTTCTTATATAATTTACAGTATTTTAGCTTAAAGTCTGCAGATGTTTTTAATGAAAGCCACCGGGACTGCCTCGACTTTGGCAAGGACTCTGAAATTTGAGCATCTGTTCAAGCGTGCAATAAATTGTTTCCAAACTCTCCAAATGTGCGTTTAGAGTTTTTTCCTGCTTTTGTCTCTGAAGCTGAAGGAAATGGACACTTGTGAGGAGCAAGTGAACCTGTAACTGTTTTTTAGATACATTGTAATAGTTTAAAACAATATATATATATATATATATATATATATATATATATATATATATATATATATATATATATATATATATATATATATATACAAAGAAATTCCCTTCTCACCCACCGTGGGTGGTTCTTATCCTCTGAGCTCCTGGGATCTGTTGTAGCCACTGTTCCAGTTTGGGGGTGATTGCCCCAAGGGCTCCCATGACCACAGGCACCACTGCCCTCTCCAGTTCCTCTCTGTGGCCCTAGTATTTCTCCAGTTTCTCTTGCTCCTTTTTCCTGATGTTGCAGTCGCTTGGTATTGCTACATCTACCACAATGGCTTTCCTCTGTTGTCGTTGTGATATATATATATATATATGTATATATTGTCAGATTGTGATGGCAAAGTTCTGGGTTCTGGTCCATTAAAATGTAATTTTCAAAAAAAATGTTGCAACCGGGAGCCTGCACCTTAGCATCTTTACATTTCTGAAACATTATTTGTTTCATAAGCTTGAAGGAATAATCCAATAATCCAGTGGTCCACTGTGTGAAATGCAGCTTTGAGTTCTAACTGCACAAGCAGTACATGATTTTCGCAATTTTGATAAGAAAATATCATTAACAAATTAACATAACATTTCCGTGCTGTAAAATTACTTAAAGCCAAACGGAAGTACTTCTAAAACCGAAAGTTGTTGAGATATTCCATCATCTGAATTTGAACTAGAACAGGAATTTGTCTGGCTGTTTAACTGAATCCCTTTCAAGGTTTCCAGAAAACCCAGAAGTAAAATGATGGAATTGTTTTTTGTTGTTGTTTTGGAATTCATGAGTGCCTAATATCTTAAATATCAAACTAATCAGTGATTTGAAACTAGAGCAAACTAGATTTTAGTGTAGGAGCTCTTTTTTTAGAAAATAAAAGGGCGAATTCAAGTTTTCTAAATCTGAGAATAAGGAAAGAATTCCAAAGTTTTCCATACATATCTGTCATTAATCTCAAGTGTGTAAATTTAAAAGCCACTAACAAGTTCTGCTTGTTAGTGGCTGATGGAAGCTGAAGGCCCAGAGGTCAGCATCAAAGTCAGGTCCAGGCTGGAGACTGGAGGGGTCTTTCTGTGGTTCAGGTCACAGCATTTAGAGGCTGCAGAGAGGGATTTGCACAAGCAGATTTCAAGCAAACAGGGGAGGAGCAAGTGTGGATAGAAGAGCTTCCTACAAAGGATTCTGCTGGAAGCTAAAAGGAACTGCATATTAGGTGTGCAGCAGAGCAGGTCATCTATGATTTCTTTTCTAAACGTAGAGGCTCTGCACAGGGATTCTGTTCTGAGTCCATGTGTTCAGAGACTCAGAACACATTTTTATTTTATATTTCTCTGTAATCCCTTCTTATGTGTTAGTTGTACATAATAATTCTTAAAACTTAGCTTAGGACACTGATATAAGCAAAAGTTCACTCAGTTCTGTTAAGTTGGGAATTTTTGGTTAGATTTGGATGTTTGGGCATTTTAGTTCTTCCCTCCAGAGGAGTGAGACCTCTCATAGAAAGGATTTTTGGATGTAATGCAAGTCTTTTTGTAGATGGATTTTGCTTTAGAGATCTGGATCTGAACCTGTAACTGTTTTATGCTTTTATTTATTAAATTGTCCTTTATTTTTTTCTTTTCAAATCAAACCCTTGTGTCTCGGAGGTCAAGGGGAATTATTACGTGTCCTTTAATTGAAAGGACACTGAAAGCATGTGTTGAGATTTTAACTTCCGTTCCTGAAGCAAGAGAATGTCGCTGGGACAGGGATGTTTTGATAGGAGGTTATGTTGAGATAAGACTGGTCACTTTCGCAGATCAGTTTTATGTCAAGTTACAAACAATTCAGGCTTTAAATGAGGCTAAAGATGTCTTTTTGATATGGTTTACATTCTTTTCCCCATCTGATTATTTCTTCATCTTTGTGATGCAGGTATGACCCTGGCCTGATCCCCAAACCCCCAGCAGATTTTGGAACGTCTCAGCTCCATTACTTCGAGGACTGGGGTGTGGTGACATATGGCGGAGCTTTGCCTTCTGGCACCAACAGCTCCTTTCTGTCCTTCAAGTCTGGGAAATTAGGGGGACGTGCCATCTTTGACATCGTTCACAAAAACAAGTACAAAGAGTGGATCAAAGGTTGGAGGAACTTCAATGCTGGTCACGAACATCCAGACCAGAACTCTTTCACCTTTGCACCCAACGGTGTCCCGTTCATCACGGAGGCCCTGTATGGACCCAAGTACACTTTATTAAATAATGTGGCATTGTTTGGCTCAACCCTGTCTGGGAGCTGCTTTAAACCTTGGGCTGGACAAGTAACAGAAGCCTGTGACTCTAAGTGGCTAAAGTACAAGGTGGGCCTTGCAGCCGATGCCCAGGGCAGAGTGGAAGCTGCTATAAAGAGAGAGGGGATGGTCTTCATTCGTGGCGAAGGACATTCGGCTTATAACCCAGACCTGAAAATCAGGAACTTCCAGAGGAACTTGCTGCTTCTTCACCCACAGCTCCTGCTCATGGTTGATCACATACACCTGGACCCAGGAAGCCCAACCAGAGCCATGAGTGCCTTCTTTCACAACACCGAGTTGCCATTTCAGAGTACGAAAGTAGATGGTGTTCATGGAGCGTTTGTAACACATGGAAAGGAGAACTATAAGATGTTTTGGATGGATGACACAAACTCCAGTAACAAAGGGATGGTGGGTTACTGGAGTTACCCTCGAGGGTATCCCTATAACGGCTCTAATTATGTGAATGTAACAATGCCACTAAGGTATCCGCACACGAGGGTGGCCTATATTTTCTTTGGACCAGGCTTGGATGTACAGAGCTTCAGCTTACGTGGGGATGATCAGCGGGTGGATGTTTACCTCTCCACCAAAGACCACACCTACACCATCTACCTTTTGACAGGGGAGGTCATCAGCAAGCCTGTGTTTTCCATTGTGCTGCTGGACCACAAAAAGATTGTGTTTGAGAGAGCAGCAGCTGCTGTAGACAGCTTCCTTGTGGAAGTTGAAGAATACACCAATGTGATGGAGGACAATCTCCAGCATGTCAAACCTGTCTTCCAGCAGATGGAAAGACACATCCTTGGACGAGTCCTCAACACTGCCAGTTTCCGTAGAACCGCTGAGCGCCTTTTCCAATTCTCTGACAAGAAGAAGACAGAGGAGGTCATTAAGAAGATGTTTGCTATGTCCAAGAAACAGAACAAAGGCAAGGGAGGAAAGAGGTTTAACCTTGGAGAGAAGCTGTCCGAGAGTCTGGATGACATTTTTTCACAAATTGAGGTCAACGAAAAGAATGAGAGAGAGAAGATATCAAAGCGTACATATGAGGACAGTCCAGAGGAAGGGGATGCAGACTCAAGGGCCTTCGTGGATTATCCAGCTGCTCACAGGAACAGGAAGGGGGGCTTAGTTAAAGGCCGCAGGTTTAAGGAGGTTCGCATTGTGACCACAGCAAGGAGTGAGGGGGTTTCTGGTAACCCCTCCTACATTAGATTGTTCCTGCTTATGAACACCACTACCTTCTTCCTACTGCTGGCTGTCCTGCTTACTCGATTCCAGAGGGGGCGGAGCCTGCACACACAGAAGTGCTTTTACACCATTGTTTTGATCGACTGCTTCATCCTGCTGTACCTCTACTCATCGTGTTCTCGCACACAGTGCTGACACCCTGTACCCCTCCGCATGACAGGATGTCCTGTCTGCTCAGGGTGAACTGAAAACACATTCCTCTTTGTACCAGATATGATAGCAAAAACATCAAGGCCACTGTTTAGAAAAGTTAAAAAAGTTTTTCAAAAAGCTAATTTGTAATTGTCCAGGAAAACAACCTAAATGACATAAAAAGACAAAGAGCACTAAATGTATGGATGTAGTACATTCTTGGTCCACTCAACATTTAATTATACATTTTCTTATTGATTTCCACCCTCTGGATATGATTCATTCATTCTTCGGGTCTTATAATTCTCTTTGTAATAAAACTTGTAAGCTTTTAAAATTTGTTGCTTTTATTTATCAAGTAAAGATACATGCTAATCTCACCCATTTGGGCTTCAGCACAGAGCCCGACAACACCCACAGATGTTTGGGGAAAGTAAGCAGAAATGTTAACGCCATTATCCCAAAATGACACTACACAGGAATTCATACACTAACCCTATCCAATCAGCCTCTCATTCACCACAGCAACAAAGGGCTGCATGAGTTTAAACTTCAGTTGTTTTTAAAGCAAAACTACAATTTGGTGGCTGTAATTTCTGCTTTGGTTTTAACCTGACATCAAATGAGTGAAATCATGACTACATTGTAAGTTTTGCAAATGAGTCTTTCCGTTGTTGTTTAATTACATAACACTGGAAACAGCTGAAAATCTTTCTTTGTACATTTTTGGGTCCTCTCACAGGATTTATACAGGAATCCCAGAGTTGACTTTACTATTTTTTATTACCTCTTTTACTAGCTCTACAATATTTTACTACCAACACAAAATTGAGTCAATTTCGCACCGATTTCCTCAATTTTGGGAGATCGGTCAATATTTACATGAAGCCAATCTCATCCTCTGATCTTTTCTACTTCAGCAAAGGTCTAAAAATCAGCCACTTTCCTCCTCTACTCTTCAGTGAGAAGTTTGACTGACAGACTGGCCTACCAGGTCATGTCTGCAAGCTCTGCTGTTACCAACTCAGAGACTTTCTTCCTATATTTAGCGACATTTCAATCAAAAAATGGCACTAGCTAAAACAGGGGTGTCAAACTCCAGTCGTTGAGGTCCACTGTCCTGCAGTTTTTTGATGTGCCACAGGTACAAAACACAGGAATGAAATGGCTTAATTTCCTCCGCCTTGTGTAGATAAGTTCTCCAGAGCCTTGCTAATGACCAATTATTCTATTCAGGGGTGGTGCAGCAGAGGCACAGCTAAATGTTGCAGGACACCGGCCCTGGAGGACTGGGTGTTGACACCCCTGAGCTAAAATCAAAATCGGCAGATCAAACTTTTTATAAATTGATAATCTATGATCTGCAAGAAAGCTGCAATCAGTGCACTGACCCATGTAAGATGACATCTCATTTAAGACAAAACTTTATCCTTCTTACTTGAAGGTATAACTGTGACTTTATCTAAACCCAAACCTCATTATGTTAAAAACAGAAAGCACTATTTTTAGTGCTTATCCTGAATCCATAAGACTTAGAAATGTCATTGCATTTTACAGATATTCTTAAAAAACAAAGAAATCTTATTTCACCTGAGTGAAGTTGCCCCCCCCCCTTTCTTCAAATCAGACAAAATTGGTGTCAAATGTTTGTGCAGCAAAAATTTTGATTTGTGCCTCTAACATTTTAAAGAAATAAAGAAACGTTTCTAGTCGTCATCAAAGGTCAACCAGCCTCCCACCTTCTTCAAATCAAACAAAATGGGTGCCAATCAGCAAGACTGTTTGTGCTGGTTTGTGCAGCAACACTTTCTGTTTGTGCTGCTTTGGCTTTGAAGATATTAATTAAAGTTTAAAGGTCAACCAGTCCTCTTCCTTTCATAAAATCAAACAAAATAGGTGACAATCAGCTCGGCTATGTTTGAGCTGGTTTGTGCAGCAAAAATTTTCATTTGTGCTGCTATCATTCTAAAGGTATTAAGAAAAATGTTTTTAGAGGCCATCAAAGGTAAATGAACATCAGTGTCCCCAGAGGGGAAGCAATGAAGACAGTTATAAGGGGATGTATAATTTTGTACAAGGTAGCAAAAGATATGTGATTGTAAGGAGACTGCTAAATTCTGTGCCATTAACACTAAATATATACAGGCCTAATTTTGATGATCCTATCTTTTTTCAAGACTGTCTACACTACTTTTAGTGTAGTGCAGGCTATATCTAAAAATGGTGAATCCCTGAAAAATCTCCTTCATAATTTGGTTGACATCTGTTATATCCTACCAGGAGAGATTATTCATACTTTTCCCCAGTACATAAGTCCTACTTTAGGATTCTGGGCTGCTACCATCAGCAACAAGCGGCAAATACCATACTATTCAAATATCAAGTCACACTCCTGTATATCTAAATCTTAAATTTGATCATAAAAAGGGTAGGTGCAACTGGCACTTAAATAACACTCTGCTGAAAGATAAGGAATTTATATTTCATAAAAAATTAAGTTAATTAATTAAGCAAGGACGATGTGGAGAATTCTGCAATAAAGATGGTTATAAGGGGATGTATAATTTTGTACAAGGTAGCAAAAAGCAAAGAGTCCAGGATGAGGTTGAATTAGATAGATGACCTGCTGACTCGCTTAGATAACTCATATAAATCAATCCTGATAATACTGAATAAAATAACTGCTCAATCATTCTATTATGTAAAAAAAAAAAAGAAAAAAAAAAAAAATTACTGGTGCATGTTAAACAAAGGTACTTTGGGTGACAAACCCCATAAGGTTAAACCTGTGTCTAGCTCAAGGTTGATCCGATTCATGAATGCTAATTTCGGCCAGCCGTTCTCTAGGTCTCCCCCTTCCTCAAGGTGTCGAGGTTCACTCAGGGAGCGTCAGCAAATTTTACATCCAAACTCTCCTGAGAAACTAATGGAAATAGATTTCTTGCCTTGTGATCAACTGACACAAAATTCATGCTGTTACACGAGACACACTGTTCTCTAGTGAATTTTTAGTCATACTCAATATTTTCAGTGATTGTAATCTTAAAAAGTATATATTTTGGATGGCCTAAAAAATCATTTTTAATATCTCGGAAGCCAAAGCTGCACAAACGAAAATTTTAACGGCACAAACGGAGTACTAACCAATCAGACTATTTGCTGGATTATTTGAGTAGGTGGGGTGTCTGTTTCGCTTCTCCCATTAAACACCAAGTTAACAAAAAAGCTCTCCCTCTTCAGATGCCAAATAAGCTGCATTTCCCTCCCAATTCTTTTTTTCTTTTACATAATGACCAGTTGTGTCCACCTATAGTTTGTGAAGTAGAGTAATCGTAACCGCTTTTTTTCTTCATGTTGGCCGCATTTTGGCCACTATTTATTTTTCTCATTTTCAGCACTGACCTTACTTAAAGGAAAAACTTAAGGCTTACAAAAACTTTGTATTTTCTGTCCTGGAGGGTTTACTAAAAAGCTGGGTCAGTTGTAAAGCAGGTTAAGTTAACCTAAAGCAGGTTAAGTTAACCTTGTGGTTTAGGTAAAGCACCTAATTTTCTTAACTAAATTATGCCTGCAGGTATATCTATTAGCAGGTTTAATTTTGCCTGCACTTGGTTGTGTACATTATTTTAAGCGTATTTGACAAGTTTACCAAAATATAAAAAATGTCATTCAAACTGCATTTGCCTTGTTTTACTTTTTACTTGTGCTTTTCATTACATTACTTGAATACATCCATTTTTACAGTAATTTTCATACTTAAGTACAAGACGTTTCACGTACTTTAATACTTTAACTCAAGTAACATTTCAGTCAGTGACTTGGAATTTTACCAAAGTCGTATTTTGGAGAGGTACCGATACTTTAACTTGACTCTGAGATTTCAGTACTTTATACAACACTGATAATTACATTAAAATATATTCAGATGATTCTAAGAATTTAAAAGGACGTGTGGGAATAGGAATATATATATCTGAGTTTAAAATTGACATCTCTAAAAGATTATCTGATCAACTATCTGTATTCATGGCAAAAATGGTGGCAGTTATTATCAGCTTACAGTGGGTAGAGGAGGTTCATCCAATCAGAGTAGTAATTTGCACTGATTCCAAAACAGCAATAGAAAGTATTCAAGGAGAAGGAAACAACAGGAAAGATCTAGCACTTGAAATTCAACATAGCTTATTTAGATTATACACAGGTGGCATTGATATTTGGTTCTGTTGGGTGCCAGCACATGAAGGTGTAAAAGGCAATGAAAGGGCAGATAAATCAGCAAAAAGGGCTTTAGATCAGGCAATAACAATCAAAATACCTATTGGGAAAGGGGAAGGGAAATCAATTATTAAGAATAAAGAAATGGAAATATGGCAAAAAAGATGGAATGAAGATAAGAAAGGAAGGAAATTATATAAAATACAGAAGTCAATATTTAGTAGAAATATTAAGGAGAGAAATAGAAGGGAATAAATAATAATGATTAGATTAAGAGTAGAGCATACATATTTAAATGATACTTTATATTTAATAAGGAAGAAAAATAATGACAAATGTGAAGAATGTGGAAAGAAAGAAAACGTAGAACATGTATTATTGAACTGTAAAACATATGAACGTGAAAGGGAGAGATTGAGAAGAATAGTTGGAATGAAAGAATGGAGTTTGAAAGGAATACTGGGAAATGATAGAAATATAATGGATATTTGCATATTAAGGAAAGCACTATTTCTCACTGTTGCTACACACTCGTGTACAGTAGGTGGCGGTATGCACCTTAAAGTTGCTTGCGATCCGCCATAATAGAAAAGAAGAAGAAGAAGAACAAGAGGAAAAAGAAGAAGAAGAAGAAGCAGCAGCAGAAGCAGAATCAGAAGCACTAGTGGGTTTTGGGATACAACCAGCATGGGTGCTCGACTCGCGCGGATATTCCGAAACTATAACGTGGAGGACCGCGCGCTCCGAGAGATCTCCAAAGAGAAGCCGAGGTCAGCACCCCGGCACGTGACCACAGCGATGCCGACCACCGTTAGCTCTGAGGGTGAGAGGCTGAGCTACTTGTGTAACCTCAAGGGTCATACCCGCTGTAGGCTCGGTTTTCTAGAACCTGCCTCGGGTTTTGTGTGGTAACTGGTTTGTTCTGTGTTTCTAGCCGCGGAGTTGGTGACGAAGAAGAATGAGTCGTTGTTGGAACATCTCAGGTCTGTGTATGTTGAGTCCACAGATCCAACAGCAGCTCCAGAGGTCAGTCTTGAGTCCTATATGTCTTTATCTCTGTCCCTGTCTCTTCTGAATGACAGCAGGACCTCTGAATGTTCAGTTATGTCCTCATTTAGACCAGGCTGAACAGGACTGGACTGAAAGTATTTTATTGGTGTTCTAGTTGATAGACCAACACAAACTAGAGCAGGTCTGTTTATTAAAAGAAAAAATCAGACGATTCTAATATTTTTTTTACGTATTAAAGTCCTAAAAGTGAAGTGTATATCTACTTATGTAGCCCATTTTACCTTGACACCCCTAATTGTGTAACAAATAATTTTCAGAAGTCATGTGATTAATAAATGTTCACCTGTGTCAGGACTAATTCAGCTTGGCCTGTATGCACAGAACTTTGTGCAACAGAAAACTGACACTGCACATCATGGTGAGCAAAGCAGTGTTACTGTAAAGCAGGGGTCACCAACCTTTTTGAGACTGGGAGCTACTTCACGGGTACAGAGCAACACGAAGGGCTACTTGTTTGATACAGTATAAAAATTAAAAAATTCCCTTCTCACCCACCGCGGGTGGTTCTTATCCTCTGAGCTCGGGTCCTCTACCAGAGGCCTGGGAGCTTGAGGGTTCTGCGCAGTATCTTGGCTGTGCCAAGGACTGCTGCACATTTCTGGACTGAGATGTCTGATGTTGTTCCTGGGATCTGTTGTAGCCACTGCTCCAGTTTGGGGGTTACTGCCCCGAGGGCCCCAATGACCACAGGCACCACTGTGGTCTTCACCTTCCAGGCCCTCTCCAGTTCTTCCCTGAGGTCCTGGTATTTCTCCAGTTTCTCGTGCTCCTTTTTCCTGATGTTGCAATCACTTGGTATTGCTACATCTACCACAACGGCTTTCCTCTGTTGTTTATCCACTATGACAATGTCTGGTTGGTTCGCCATTACCATTTGTCTGTCTGGATCTGGAAGTCCCACGGATCTTAGCTCTGGCGTTCTCCACCACCTTTGGGGGTGTTTCCCACTTTGATCTCGGGGTTTCCAGTCCATATTCTGCACAGATGTTTCTGTACACTATGCCTGCCACTTGGTTATGTCGTTCCATGTACGCTTTCCCTGCCAGTATCTTGCACCCTGCTGTGATGTGCTGGACTGTCTCAGGGGCCTCCTTGCACAACCTACACCTTGGGTCTTGTCTGGTGTGGTAGATCTGGGCCTCTATTGCTCTGGTGTTTAGGGCCTGTTCCTGGGCGGCCAGGATGAGGGCCTCTGTGCTGTCCTTGAGTCCAGCTTTTCCAGCCATTGGTAGGATTTACTGATATCAGCCACTTGGGTTATTTGCTGGTGGTACATCCCATGTAGGGGCTTGTCCTCCCATGATGGTATCTCTGGCACCTCAACCTCCGTTCCCTGTTGTCTGAGACATTCACTGAGCACATTGTCTGTTGAGGCTTTGTCCCTGATGTATTTATGGATCTTAGTTGTTTCGTCCTGGACAGTGGTTCTCACACTCACTAGTCCTCTGCCTCCTTCCTTGCGGCTCGTGACAGTCTCAGGGTGCTGGATTTGGGATGGAACCCTCCATGCATGGTTAGTAGCTTTCTAGTCTTAATATCTGTGGCTTTTATCTCCTCCTTTGGCCAGCTAATTATTCCAGCAGGGTATCTGATTACTGGCAGGGCATAGCTGTTTATCGCACGGATTTTGTTCTTGCCATTGAGCTGGCTTCTCAGGACTTGCCTCATTCGTTGGAGGTATTTAGCTGTGGCTCCTTTCCTTGTGGCCTCATCGAGGTTGCCATTTGCTTGTGGTATACCTAGGTACTTGTAACTGTCCTCTATGTCTGCTATTGTTCCTTGTGGGAGTGAGACTTCTTCTGTGCGGATGATCTTGCCCCTCTTTGTGATCAGCCGACCACACTTCTCTAGTCCGAATGACATCCCAATGTCAGTGCTGTAGATCCTGGTGGTGTGGATCAGTGAGTCGATGTCTCGCTCACTCTTGGCGTACAGCTTGATGTCATCCATGTAGAGGAGGTGACTGATGTTGGCCCCATTTTTGAGTCTGTATCCGTAGCCAGTCTTGTTGATAATTTGGCTGAGGGGGTTCAGGCCTATGCAGAACAGTAGCGGGGACAGAGCATCTCCTTGGTATATGCCACATTTGATCATATATATATATATATATATATATATATATATATATATATATATATATATATATATATATATATATATATATATATATACTGAAATAAACAAAAGCAAACTGATGGATTGTTGCAGTAACACCTGCAGCTGTACAGCCCTGAGTACCTTGAAATTTTCCTTTAAATAAAAAGGAAGAGTTATCTAACCATCTGTTCTATTACCAAATTGTGAAAAATAAAATATCTTTTGTGTCAAAAGATTATACACACACAGCTATGTCAGTCTGAGGTGGGGAGCGCCAAAGCCTAAGTATTATTAGTCAGTTTGCTTTTGTTTATTTCACGGCTTTGCGTTTTTCTGTAAGCTAAAAATGAACGAGTTGGATTTGAACCTCCCTTTGTCCGAAGATCAGCCTGAGCTTCTGACAGTGTGTGCGGTTCTGGCGGGTCACCGGTTTATTAGCTTTTTTCGTGGTTTCGCGAACCGAACAGCTGAAGGGTCACCCGCTGGCTGACACCAGCAGATGTCGAAAAAATAAAGGTCCGACTATAACTGCACCTGACCTGCAAGAGCACAAGCACCTCTCCAATGCACAAAAATTAGCAAAAGCCTGAACCACAAGAGCAGCAGACTTTTTTTTCCACTCGATGCTAAATAATAAAGACATGGAAGCGAAGCCTCTTTATGTGGTTGGTGTTGATTCCCAGGTTCAGGTGTTGATTCCCAGGTTCAGGTGGTGTTAGACGTCTAGAGAATGAGAAGGTGAAGCTGTTTGCTTTATTTCTACTATACTTTGGCTAGATTAAATGGTTTAACCCACAGTCTTAGCAGCAGGTATCTTAGCAGCTGATCAGCTCTCTCATTCGGGAAACATCAAAGAAGCTCATAAACCGAGGACCCTGGCATTTCTGGATCCAAACGACCACTCTTAGAACTGTGGGAGGTTCAAACTCCTGTCATTAATTTTTGCCTTACAGAAAAAGCACCAAGCTGCCAAATAAATGAAAGTAAATTGAACAATAAAGATTTGGGCTTTGGGTGCTCACCCTCAGAGACTCAGACAGATGTGTGCTATGTATAAGATGTTTTGGCACAATTTATTTATTTTTTCTTCACAATTTTGTTAATAGTAAATGGGGTTAAATAATAAAAATTCCAGAATTTATTCTTTACTTAAAGAAAAATGTCAAGGTATGCAGAGTACAGCTGCAGGTGCTGCTGCCCTCCGATAGTTTCCTGCATGCACCTTTGCGGAGTTCTGAACTTTAACAGCAGGAAAGAGTTTTATAGTAAAGCAATTTTTTTGTTTTTATCATTTCGCTCTTTTGAACTCTAAATATAAACAAACGTCATTATTTCAATGTATAAACATTTAATTAAATAATTTTTTGGTCGTGCTCCCTAATGATAATAGCTATTTTTAGAAATAGCTCCACGGGCGACTGATAAGGTCCCTTCGGGCGACCGGGTGCCCGTGGGCAACATGTTGGTGACCCCTGCTGTAAAGCATGGTGATGGCAGCGTCATGCTTTGGGGTGCTTTTATTCTACAAGCTCAGTGAAGGGAAGAAGAATGGAAATGCACACAAGAGAAGTCTCAGAAAACAACCTATTGGAGGGTGCAGAGGGTTTGAGAATGGGTCAGAAACTCCTGAACATCCACTCTAAGCATCAGTGGAAGTGCTCATATCAAATTATGTGCTTGTAATAAAATGGCCTAGTTAAAGCGCAGAGGTAAATTCAAAGAATAATTTTTGACAAATTGTTGTAAAGATGATCTGATTTGACTAATCTTTGTATTGCTATGAAGAAATCTGCAAAATTGTTTGGCCTTTGGATGTGTAAAGCTGGTAGAGATACATGGCTAAGAACAACTGGAGTAAATTAAGTTCTGTTAAGGTCTAATTTGGTTGGGCTAAGTACCAAAGCACACAGCACTTTTTATGTTATTTGTCAAACAAACAAAAAAAAAGTTTCTTTTTTTCTTCATCAAAATTATGCACCACAATGCAATGCTACCATTGCTAAAAATTATGGTCAGGACTTTAATGCATTCATTTGAAATAACAGCGTAGATTTGATTGTGTTAAACTTTTCAGTGCAAGTAATTGTATTATTTTGAATATAATTTCAGATTTTTTTTTTAATTTAGCTATATTTAAGTTTATTGTTACAATTAAATTTTTTAAATTGCAGAAAAGTTCATTGTTAGAAATGCAAATGTAAATTTGGACCGATGTTGATTAATACTTTATGGCAGTAGTTATCTGTATTTTATTTTATCAAATGTTTTATTTGATTACTTGATTAATCGTCAGAATAATGAATACTAATATAATTGTTTACAACAGCCCTACTTCTTTACACCCCTGTGTCATTTCCCCACAGTTTTCGGGGGATGTGTTTGCAGGTAAAGAAGCAGACCGGAGGCCCCTCAAAGTCAGTTTACCAGGAGGTGTGTTCGGCCTGCCAGAGCTCACAGATGTTCCTAAAGGGAAGCTGGCTCTTGCTGAAGCTCTGAAGGCTCTCGGCAGCCACCAGCACCAGCCTCGGACTTGGTCGGCGGAAAAGATTGCTCAGGAATATTGCCTGGAATTAAAAGACACAAAATCTGTGGTCGAATTCTTTATCCCTTTCAAGGTTGAGATTATCCCTCCAAAGAGTAGAACTGCCAAGCGAATAAAGGCTTCCTAAGAATGGAATCAGGAGGAATGGAGAAGCTTTTACCTCACTTATTTATGTTCTGTAATATTAGAGTGGAAAAGGATGTAGCTTTTCCATGGTTTAAGTGATGTTTAAATGGAACAACAGAACATTTTTAATATAAATAGATGAAAAAGAACTGTCAATCACAGTGATCTGATCAAAAACAAGTCCATGAAGATGACATTCTCTTCTCCTGTTGGTTGTTTAGGGCTCCCCATCTCATGCAAAGTTGAGATGCATAAAACAAAGTTTTTTTTATTTGTTTTTTTACAGTGAAGGCTTACAGATTTTAATTTCTATTTACGAATCATAAATGACAAAGTACCTTGTACTCTTTGTGTATTCATTTCTAAATTTAACTCAGAAGTAGAATTAGATAGATTTAGTATTTTCCAAATGATAAATGTTATTGATCCAAAGTTATGCTAATGGTTAAATGAGTAGCTCTTTTATGTCTTTTTATTGTTTAGATCCTTCTCCTGTTCAAGTCACTCTGTGGCTGTGATCGAACTTTACAAATACTCATAGTGGCCCTACTCCCCTCCATAAAGTGTGTACTCAATCAAAGGGAACATAAGTGTTCAAGTGAGCAGGTTACAAGTGTTCAAAAATTTGAGAATTGGGACAGTATGCCAATATTTTGCAACTTTGATATCCAAAATGTTAGGACTGATCACTGTTTTGGCACTTGGACTGCTAAAATTCACAACAAAAAAATTGATTCTAAATGTACAGTATTTTTGCTTTTCAATGTAATTGCTAGAGATATTTAGCTGTTCAAACGTGTGCTAAGACTTGTTGAATACAGAGCAAAATGTGATGTAATCGCACATGCTCTCTTGTAACAAAAATCTCAATACTTTACATTGAAAGCTGTTTTTTTTTTCTTTTTATGACTCACAACCTGCTAACTGAACATTATAGTTCCAACATGACAAAACATTTAACAGTCGTAAAGGCAAATCTCCCTGTGATTTGACTAATTAAGAGACATGATTACATTTTGAGTTGTTTCTTGAGGAAAAATTCTTAAAGAAAAAAATTGTCGAAGTTAGTTTGATGTAAAGTGGAGCTGATCTGACAAAGAGAAAGAGGCCTGATGCTATATTTTGAGAAATAAAAAAACAAATGTAATTATTAAAATGTCCTTTTTAAAATAAATTATGAATGTTTGGCTTTATAGACCAAAAATGTTAGAAGAAATTAACAAGAAACACTGACTTCAATTTTATTCCTCTATAGCCTGAGTAGAAAACATTTATTTAAAAATTATGAAATCCTTAAGCAAAATAAGAACTCAATGCCTTTCTATTTCATCCATCCATTTTCTAATTAGCCTTCTCCTTGGCTAGGTCTGGAGTTGCTGGTGCCTATACCCAGCTGGATTCCGGGCAAGAGGCGGGCTACGCCCTGGACAGGTCGCCAGTCTGTCACAGCCTTTCTATTTCACTCCCACAAAAAAATTAAGATATGCGTTTTCATACTCTTTGTGCATCAATTTTAGATTAATTGAATAGTTTTCCCCAAATTACTTTCTACAAAAGAAATTTAACATAAATATCAATTCATGTGTATTTTGTAACTTTGATTTTCAGTAAAAATTTGTATTGTCTAATACACATTTTTTCAGTTGCAACTTCTTTTGTTTTTATAAAGATTTTCAAAAAATGGATGTCTATTCCATCCTTAAGTTTCTTTATAATAAAATTTGGTCTTTTAACAGGGGATAAAGAGTTAATTTATGATAATTTAATCTTCTGGCAAAGATTGTATCCACAAATATGGCTTTCTAATAATCACTCTTAAATAAATGTATTTAAGAGTACTTAACATTGCAACATCCAACAGCATAAAGTCCAATCTTTATGCCAATATGTTAATTTAAGATTTGAAAGTCGTGTTGCATTTCTTACATTTTGTTAGATTTTTCTCACAGTTAAATTGAGACTATTCTTTTTTATTTCTTCTTTTTTCTGCTGCTCTTGTCTTTGAATTTTCAATAAAGACCAATAAAACCAACAAAACATTGCCATAGTTCCGCATTTTAACTCAAACGACACATGCAACGATTAATTGTGAGTTATACACTTCGCCTAAGTAGGCATGGATTACAAAAACTTCAAACTAGCTACATAGATTGTGCATGTGTTTCCGGAAATATTGCTGGTTTTTCAGAATAAGGTAAGACAAACTCTTCAGTTGCATTCTGATTTTATATTGTTATGAAAAGTTGCTTGGGTGAAGATGAGCTATTTAGCTTATGTGAAGTATTTATGCAGTAAAAGCAGCCAAACTTACTAAGCTGTGATTACTTACAACCAAAAAGCTGAGCACAATCATTGGACACATCAACAACAGATGAGGATACACCATGAACGGGCCCCACCTCTTGTGACTGCTTGAGATAGCCACCTATGCCCTCCACCTTAAAAAGTCCCTGTAAGGATAACTGAGGAAAACAATACAGAGTGAAGTTTCAAAAGATCCTAAAGATAAGAACAGGCCAACCAATTTAAAATTGTATAAGTTAAAAAAAAATCTTAAATTCTATCTGAAATGAAACAGGCAGCAAGTGTAAAGAAGGAAATATTGGCCTTATATGTTCATGCTTCTGGGTACCTCAAAGAAGTACATGTTCATGTCAAGAGGTATTTTTCACTTGCAAACTAATAAAGTTTCACCACAAGAGAGCACAACAACCAGCTCGTAAAGGTGGTATATTAATGAACTTATTTTTTAAATCTTTTTATTACGCTACAATGAAAAAACAATAAAAACACCCCTAGAGTGTTGCTTTGATTCTTTCATCCATGTTTGAGGAATCCTTGAATCTCCCATGGCAACCATTCAGGGTGCCTAAACGCTTGCTAAAACAAAACACCGCCTATTTGCGTAAAGTTCCCCCTTGGCAAAACTGCAGTCTCCAGCCAAACTCACCAGACACACTCAGTTCCTCGGGACCAATGGCAGCAACAATAACCAAACACTTGATGGAATTACTGGTCTGTTGAACTCATCCCTATTTCTCGAACATTGTTAGAGGCTTAATGGAGGAATATTATTGTGATGAAGTGCTGAGTGTAGAAAAGAGCAGGAGCTTCTCAGAGGGACAGAGGTTCAATTTCAGTTAGGTTTCATATATAGCAATTTTTATAACAACTGAAAATTATACTTGGTTGGGCTAATGGCACTTGGCTGGAAAATATAAAATACTGTCTTTTTAAATGAGGGTTTATGGATGAGTTAGCCATGAGTTAACTTGTTGCTAGTCACAATAAAAATGGTGATGAAAAACAGAGCAGAGCAGCTGGAATTAAATCTTCTGTAAACCGCGGCGGGTATAAATAATGAGCGAAGTTTTATTTTGAAAGCCCAAGCAGGAGGTGGCGGTGTCTGGCCTTGCTCGGCAGCTCTCCCCTCAGTGAAGAGTAGTTTTGGTAGACTGGACTTTGAACATTCGGAGCTGCTCACAGCTTTTAGCTTCAGAGAACATCTGGAGGACTAAACACGGAGGAAATCCGCGGTGAAAAAATCTGGATCGCTCTTGAAAACAAGAAAAAACGGTGCTGGTGGAAATAAGGCCAATTGAGGATCAAATGTTTCATCCGTGTAGGTGGTTTCATCAGCGACTGTCTCGCTGTTGAGAAAGCAGTCCTGAAACAGGTTGATAGCTGGGATTCCCACGGGGAATCCACCGAAGCAGAACATCTGGTGAGGAATCTTCATACACACCGAGGCCAGACGGAGAGCCTCGTCGCTCGGATGCTCCTCTTGGACGGCTGATGCTCCACCATGGGAGGAAGCAGCAGCAGGTAATAATCTGGAACACGCTGAACTCGGTCATATAATAGTGACGGGATCAGATCAAATATGCTTAGTAGAATAAAGCTGCTCTAGTTGCAATGGCTGCCCAAGCCAGCCTCCTCAGCTGGATGGAGATGAATGAACAGCAGGCCTGGTCTTCCAGGGTCCCCTCAGCTTATATATGTGGAGTGGGTCTGCTTCCCCTCAAGCTGTAAAAAGGTTTTGAAAAAAAAAACAGTCAATATAGAAACTGCTTCTGGCCAACTGTAGGGTGAATTATTCTAATATTCACAAATGAATATTAACACCATCAAATTATGCTAAATGTGAGTTAACATCTTTACTGCGGCATGTTAGCTTATTTTATTTTAGCGTTTTTCACGGTACCTTCTAGAAGTACTCACACTTGTTCAAATTAAAACCTTTTTGTTCTGATGAACAGTTTCCTGATCACTGCTTTGTGACTGAAAAGTAGACTGGCTATAAATTGGCCTTTTAAATATGAGCTTTTTTTCTTAAATGTCCTATTATAAAAGGGTAATATTATGTGTTTTTCCCCCCAGGCATTTATAGCACAATCAAGTAACTGTTATTTTCATTTGTTTAAAAAAATGCTGAATATATTAAATATGACTTAAAAGACATGTTACTTCCTGATTTAATGCCTTGAACTGGGGCTTCTGTGTCTTTAAACATCTCTGCTGTTAACATTTTAACGCATTTACCAGCATTGCACTGAGAAGTAACTTGCATAATGAGCTCAGCAGATGTGCAGTTCTATCAGGTGTTTGCTAATTGTTGCCTGTTAAAAGTGTGGTCAGCCACAGGGTAGGGCTCCTCTGTGAGGCAGAAGCTTGGAAAGTTCAGCCCTGAGTTTGAGGGGATGCTGCACCTAGAAGGTGGTGCCTACTCCAACCATGTATTTTGCACACCTGAATGGTTGCTATGGGAGATTAAAGGATTTCTCAGGGATGCATGAAATAATAAAGGCAGTACTATGGGCATGTTTTTGATCACAGAATAACATAAGCTCAAAAAGTAAATTTTATATTATACTGCCCATTTAAGCTAAAATATTTGTTTGTTTTATGCTTGTAAAGGGGTGAATGAATGTTGCTATAGAACTAAACTTGTCTTGCATATCTTATATCAGCTGTACCCATATACATATCTATAAAAAAAAATCGCACACCTGGCAGGGGCAGCATCATGCTGTGGGAATGCTTTTCTTCAGCAGGAACATAGAATTTGGTAAGAGTCAATGAGAAAATAACAGTGCTACATTCAGAATAGAAAAACCTGAGGGCAGAGGTTCATCAGGTAGCCCAGGGGTCTGCAATCTGTGGTTCCAAACATCCTTCATTGGTACTTCAGTATTTGGATTGTGTCACAATGCACTGAAATGCAATGCAATTAACTAACCCTTTGAAAAACTTGTTCACCTGTGGTGCTGCTGCCCCAAGAACCAATGGAGGATTTCACACAAAAACCTATGAAGAAGACACTGAGCACAACTTCATTCTTCACAAAATACTAACAAAAATGAAGTGGCTTCAGATCTAGTGCAGAATTTCAACTGCTGGCACGTAGAGATGGGTACCTTTGACACTTGAATCAATGTGATACTAATATCCAGTATCTGGGAATTGGTGTCAATACTCAATGGTACCAATTTTCAGTTGTCTGTGTTTTTTTAATAATAAACTTTTTTAAAAATATTTATTTATTTATTTCTAAATATATAAAATTTAACAAATATGTCAAGACAATGCCCAACTCCTTCTATTGTAACGTCACAACTATTTGACAAATTTCTTTAGTGTAAACTAAAGTCTTCAGAGCAATTAACAGAGTGTTTCGTACTGTGGCCCTGCAGTGCAAACTACTTCGGCAAATTCAAAAACAACAAAATTAAGACAGCACAATTACAAATTACAAAAACGCAACAACATTAACAAAACAGAAGAGGTATCTCCCACTGTGGTTATCCATTCCAACGTCCTACAATAGCACTGAAATAGATATGCAGGACTGCAACAAGGCTCTCCACAAGGCTATCCAGATGCTTAGGCATCTGGATAGCCAGATGCCTAAGCATCCATCTGGATAGGCTTACAATACAGAGAAGGTAGAAATGTGGAAACAGTTTTTATTATGGTGATTCCAGAGTACTCCCAAGCAGCAACAAATCATTCCAAAGCGTTGTGCTGCTCTAACATCAGTTGTGCAGAGAAAAGGCTGAACATTTTTTTAGTTGATATAGTTCAGTAACTTGAATTACCACAAAAATGAAAAAAACAAAGATCAACTTTTCAAATTTAAACTGGATACGCTTCACAATAGCAAGAAAATTTATTTTCACCAATTACCAGAGAAACACTTTTGAAACACTGAGAATGAACTACGTTCAATCCTGGAACTGCTGAGGTTTTAGTGCTGTTTGGAACTATTTGGAGCTGCATGACTCACATGACTTCTGCATTCCAATCTTTCTATGGAACTCTATCGGAGTGCCCAAACCCACCTCAAACAGTACTAGTGGGGATGAGCTGCAGAGTATAGATGCTGCAAAAAAAATATTTTAAATGTATTCCATATGTGTATCTTACTTATGGAATGTACATGATCTCATTCATGTATTCTATTTTGTCTGTGTTTGAATTCTAGGATTCTACAGCTGTGAAGATGACACCATGACATTAGGAGGAACATATGGATCTCCAGCACCGTATTTCTCATGATGATGCACACTCACTTTGGGAAGGAAGGCTTCGCTCCACTGTACCCCTTCCAGAACTGTGGGACATTAACACACTTCTCAACTGTGCCATGTGGGTTCTAACCTATCAGAGACGGTAATAATGGAGGACGTCTCTATGGCGAACATGTCCCTGGGCTCCGGAGCCGTGCCGCAGCCAGTCACCCCGACGGGGAAGTCCTCAGTAATGGCCCCAGGTCTCAGCCTCCCTCTGCAGGTCTTCTTCATCCTCGTCATGGCAACCATCCTACTGGTGGCCTTTGCAGGAAATGTGGTGGTGTGCCTGATGGTGTACCAGAGATCCGCCATGCGCTCCGCCATCAACATCCTCCTGGCCAACCTGGCGTTTGCAGACATGATGCTGGCCATCTTCAACATGCCGTTCGCTTTAGTCACTGTTATGACCACCACCTGGATCTTTGGGAACACTTTTTGCCGGGTTTCTGCCATGCTCTTCTGGTTGTTTGTGATTGAAGGTGGAGCTATTTTGCTTATAATAAGCATTGATAGATTTCTGATTATTGTCCAGAAAAAAGACAAGCTCAGCGCACAGAGAGCCAAGCTACTCATTTTGATCACCTGGGTCCTCTCTTCGGTTTTCTCCTCCCCTCTGGCTGTAGGTTCCCCTAGTCTGCAAATCCCTCCCAGAGCCCCTCAGTGTGTTTTTGGTTACAGCGCTGACCCAGGATACCACGCTTACGTCTTGATCCTCATGCTAGTTTTCTTCTTCATACCTTTCCTGGTCATGCTGTACACATTCATGGGGATCCTGAACACCATCCGCCACAACGCCATCCGCATCCACAGCCACCCAGACAGCATGTGTCTGAGCCAGGCCAGCAAGCTTGGCCTGCTGAGCCTCCAGAAGCCCTTCCAGATGAACATAGACATGAGTTTCAAGACCCGTGCCTTCACCACCATCCTCATTCTCTTCTCCGTATTTACCGTGTGTTGGGCGCCCTTTACTGCCTACAGTCTGGTGACTACCTTCAGTTTTGGCTTTTATCACAAAGACAGTTTTTTCCAAATCAGCACATGGCTCCTGTGGTTGTGCTACCTCAAGTCTGCCCTAAACCCTCTCATCTACTACTGGAGGATCAAAAAGTTTCGAGATGCCTGCTTCGATCTGATGCCCAAATACTTCAAGTTTCTTCCTCAGCTGCCAGGCAACACCAAGAGACGCATCCAGCCCAGTGCTGTGTATGTATGTGGAGAGCATCGTTCTGTGGTTTAAAGGGAAATTCACTCTTATAATGCTGTTAGAAACCCCACTTTGAATCCATGTAACTTGCATTTGAGATTGCTTGGAGTGAACTAAAGGATACTTCTCTCAGTAGAAGCGCAAGCTGAAAGTAGCACTGTTTTGAAAAGCCAAGGGGCTGAGTTGATATAAGTAGCTGCTGAAGGGATACCTAGAAGATCTGTTTGAAGTGTTCTCATGTGCAGTATGATATGAGAATATACCCAGGGGTTTAATCTAAGGATGCACGCATATCTGATATTAATACTGGTATTATGGGTGTTAACTGATACTTACAGATATTTTATATATATATGTATTTCTGTACACTTTTGACACTGTGTAAAAAGGGACCTCACAAACGACATCTTTTTTCTTCTTTAAACTCCCCATAAACTTTTGCTGCATCAAGTAAATACCACATAGCCAACATCCTCCTCCTCTTGAAACATAAACAAACAAGATGAAAGGAAATGTCACTCATTAAAATTTTTCTGCATTTCTGTTTTTTTCTAGAAAACATAAATTTATCTAAAAAAAAAATTCTCAAACATTTTTGACATTTTGATTCCGGTGGTGTGTGCTACCTGAACCTATAGCTACGCCTAAAATGGGGATGTTGGTAGAGTTTGTCCCGGGTGGTTTTTCCGTTCAAGTCCACTCTGTCTACTTCTGTCGATGAGTTTTTGGCTAAGACACTTCACCCGCATTGCTTACTCAGTTCAGTGGTGCATGGCAGCCTCTGTAAGTGTCAACACTGTTGTAAGGGTAACTGTGGCTTGCTATACTACTGTGTGAAAGGGTGAATGTAGTGTGAGGTACTTTGGTGTCCTCTGGACTTCACACTATACATTTACCAAAGCCCCCACAATGCTCTGCTTCTATCAGTCACCACCATCCAAAATGGAAACAAGAGAGTTTGTTTCCTCTTTGAAACAAGCTTCTCATTCTAAACAACTGCAGTTTTCAGTGACTCCTTGTCAGGAGTTGCAGCTAGCAGTTAATCCCGTCACATTACAACCGGTTGTGTGTACAGATAGATGCAGTTGGAGAACATTATTAGACATAAGTCTAATATCAAAACTGTGATATCATCAATGGTAGCCAGTCTGATGCTTGGTGACTAAGCAGGAAGAAGTGGTATTCAGACCCAAACATGTCCATTGAGATCAAAATTTCTGCCATTCATTTCTGCAAATGCAATCAATCTTTAAAATGGAACATAGAAAAAGAACCTTCTTCACAGTCCTTTAGATGTGATTTGCAGTGGAGGGTGTTTGAATGTTGGACTAACAACATTTCTATGTTGTTAGTCGCTCAACTGGTGAAATGGGGAAGATGCAGAAGGTGGATCTTAAATCCCCACTATTGAGAGTGTGGTCTGAGTCATTTTCTTCAGGTTTGATAAAGAAAATATCCACTACAAAACTCTAAATTTAACTGTGTGCTTTTAGTGGTTTGTGTGGCTTAAAGCCTCCCATATACCCACAGTGGTGGTGACAATGTTAAGGCTTTGTCTACAAAATTGGTGAGTTGCTGGTTCAAGTTGCTCTGAATATCTGTTACCCAGTTGTGTGTGTTATTCTATCTGTCTTTGCGTTGTTGGGCAAGGCACTTTACTCACCTTGCCTGCTAATGGCGCAGAGAGGGTGCTGTGAGCACTCTGTTCCATGGTCCCGGAGAGATGATGTTTACATTGATTTTAAACAAAGGAAACTCAACAGAGCTAGGTTTTTAGCCTTGTTTTGAAGGGACTCCGTGTTTTAACAGTTTTAACAGATGGTCTTTGGTATCCTGAAAAATGCTAAAAGCCAGACTTTATCATCAATCAATCATTGTCTCAAAGGACATGTTTGAGTCCGAAAACCACTTCTTCCTGCTCAGTCACTAACGGTGCCTGTATAGTAAAGTTAAAACCTGAACATCTATTACTACTACCATGTTTTACGAAATATCCTGCCTTCCATCTTCATGCATGATTTATAATTACATTTACATCTCCCATTGAGGTGATTATTTATTTTTTTTATTTTCTTTATTTAATCAGGTAAACCCCATTGAGATCTGGATCTCATTTTGAAGAGGGACCTGGGCATCTCCCCCAGTCTTAAATCTTGAAGCCCACTGTGTTGTGAAAATGGAAGTGTGGTCACATTTTGAATCTGAATATTCATTTGAAATTATTCCCAGCTTGAAACAATCATTAAAATCATCTTAAATCAAAGACACCTTCAGTGTCTTCAGCTTTTGTATTAGAAAGATTTTATTCTAGTAAAAAGTGACATGGAGTCCATGTCCATGTTTGTACCAAAATTGCATTGAAATATGCATTGAAGCTATATGAGACTTTGGCCAAAATTAAGCAATATTTCCACAGGTACAATTACTATGGCATCTTCTCTCTTAAACAAATTTACACCTGGAATTAGACAAAAATAGAACAAAGCTTTGTAGGGTTGTGAAAATCAGTAATTTTACTATTTGAGTATTGTACCCATCATTCTGTCAATTAAGCGAGTAATTGAATTAAAAAATGTATCAAATAAAATATTGGCACATACTGCCCACAATTGGCCCAGATTTATATATTTATTGCATTTATAGCAATTACTTTCCTGTAGCTTAAAAAATTACAACAGCTGACTTTGATAAAAATTCTGCCAAAATCTTAAATTGTATTCAGTTCAATAATAAACCATCAGGATCACAAAGACACTTATGAAAAATGTTTATCACCTTTAATAGATGAAGTCTCACTTTGCCCAACCATTTCTAGCTTTTGTGCCCAAGTGTACAACGGGATTTGGCACCTTTCATTACACACAGAAATATGCATGTCGCAACCCGTTTGTGACTGGAATGGTCTTCACATCTCAGCTTCTCTGGGGACCAGCATTTAAAGTTGATTTTTACGAAAAGCAAATGGCAAGACTTTACTGAACAAGGAATGCACTGAATAACTTGTACTCTGTGACAGTAATGTTTGGGAAATAAAGGAGAGACTGACTTTTTATTGACCCTTCCTGTTTCCTCACACTGAAAATGAGTCGATGGTGGCGAAACAGCGTGTACAATAGTATGGATTTTTTTTTTGTTTTTTTTTTTGGAAGCATGCAAATGATCAGCTGAAGTGCCACAGCCAAATGTATATTTGCATTTATAATGTTTTCATTGTGCCTATTAATTAGTCTGTTGCCAGTCAGAATGCTGCTATTTGGTGAAAATGTGCAATTTTGGTGTACTGTACTGTTGAATGTAATAAACACCTAGACATTTCTTACATTGGTAAACGGTCTTCAGTGATTTTTTTTTTTTTTTTTTTGCTTGTTTTTCTGTGTGTCTGGGCGATCTAGGTATTTGAATTTTTAAAGCACTAAACGAGATTGTTGAACTACTATCAGTTTGATATCTTCCGCTACTTTCTTTTGTATTTTTCATATAATTACTTTCAGATAGTCTAAAAATAAAGCAAACTAAAAAGGTGATGCACACTGCAGCGGAAAAATATGTTCTGGTTTGCTGGAGCATTCAACTTCACATTTGTACGAATTGTTTACCGTTGACTGTATGACCGGTGTCAGAGTCGGGCTAGATAGTGGTGAAAGTTGGACTCCACAAAATCTACCCTTTGTCACTTTATCCTTTTTGGGTTAAAGTGTGGATGCTCATACTAAAATAAATAATTTTAAGTAAGTAAATAATTCACAGTAAGACTAACTGTGACAGTGAAAAGAAATTTAGGATATTTTCATGTTTCTTTAGTGGGAAGTGTTTCTTTTTCTCCATGATAAAAAGAAAAAAACTCTTTCATTGAATGCCAAAGCTAACAATCCCCACAATTAGGACAGGTTTAAACATCATTCGTTGTATTTTATTGTTACAAAGCAATCAAAATTATTATAAGAAATTTATCACAATAAATGATATATGCCCACCACTTGACACTTGACCAATTTGACTTTTCAAAAATAAGTTTGACTAATGACTATTTAAAAAAAATAAAAACACGCTTGTTTTTGATGGACAGTTCAAAACTGCAATGGAAACACATTTTTTGCATTACGAGTCACATGATCAACAACCAAATTTTGTCACCGGCACAAACCACAAAGAAGACAACTGGAAACCTAAACAGACTTTATTTTTTAAGAAATTTCGCAAGATAGCAATGGCAAAATTGTTTATATTTTTAACAGGATGTAGTAAGGTCAAATTTACAACAAATTATCTGATATCACTAACACATCTGAGTATGTGTTAGTAACATACCCAGATTTAATGAAATGTGCAACTACACAAGACGTAGGCATTTAACTTACATCCTGTTGTTTTGTAGTTTGTGTAATCTGATTGTAAATCAGCATTTAATCTGAAGCATAACACATTTCAAAACTGCCCACCTTTAATGTCATCCCAAATACGTATCAAAGAGAAATTAAGCTGTGTGACCTTTAAGACATTAAAGCAAGCATCTCTTGGTTGTCTGTTCTCCATGTCATACCATATGCTTTTTATCTCTTGGTTTGGGGGAAAAAGAACAAAACACATGAGCCATATGCTTTGCCTGTTCTTGGTCTCGACTAAGAAACTTAAACTAATCCCTTTTTCCTAGAAGTTGCTTCACAACGACAGGAAACGTGTTTTCATGGTGCACATGGCATTAAGAGCAATATGTTAATTGCTCTTGCATATTCCCAGAACCGGACTGAAAGGCAGAGGAGACCAGTTATTTGCTGTGACTGCTCCTAATTAGTGGAACAACTTGAATACAACACATATGATAGTAGTCATAAAATATCTGCACTATCTGCAATACCTCACATGGAGAACAGGCATACATGAACAGAGCCATTGTCAATGTCAACATAAATTGTATTTATAAAATAGTTTTAGAAAAAAGTATTAACTTAATTTAAAAAGATGAATACTGCCCTGTATTCATAAAACACAGAAAAACACATAAGAATAAAACACAAGTTAAAACAGACAGAGCAAGTAAATTAGAAGTCATTTTAAATGTTCCAAACTATGGGTAAGTTGTCCCACAAAGTCGGAGCAGTGACAGCAAATGCCTGTCACTGTACACAACTTTCATTGGCGCGGTTCACAAACAAATGTGAAGCGGATGGGATGAGGATCAGCCAGTTGTTCTCGACAAACCACGACTAGAACATTCTGCAGAGGAGTCTGCTTTTCAGTCTGGTTCTGGGAGGAATTTATGTTTTGACCAAAGTGTTCCAGAAATTGAATGTTTATGAAGAAGATTTTGAAGATAAGCTGGGGGTATTGCTTTAAAAAGCCAATAAAAGAATTTTAAAATCAATACAATAAGAATCGCAGTCAATGCATTGCTCTTGCAATCGGTGTATTGCTTGAATATTGGTGTATTGGCTTCTCATTTCTGTGTTCCATTGAAAAGTCCAGATGCAATTTGAACCATTTGGAGATGCTGTAAAGAAGATTTTTATATTATGAGATGAAACGATTTGAATGTGTAGTGATGAAAGCATTGATAAGTTTCTCAAACTCTTTAAAACAGAAGCTAACTTTGACTTTTGCTAGAAGCTACAGATGAAAAAGCAAGTCTTCACGGTTCCGTGTATTTTCAGGCAGTTCGTGTTTTTGTTTGAAATAAAAAATTAAAAAACATAAATAGACTCGTTTTTTTGTTTGTTTGTTTTTTGTTTATTTACCCAAAATCGGAAATCGGATAACGACTCGGGACCATCTCTGCTTGTGATCTGATTTCCCATTTTGTGCACTAAACGGAAAAAGACAAAATGGATAACGAGAGCTGAATTTTGATTTTTTATTATTTCATTTTTGACAAGTGGTCAGCCCTGCACAATGTATACTCGTCCAAAGTGGCAATTAATACAAGTATAATTAATTTCATCATAATACCTTCACAGAGTTTACATTCTAACTTTGTTTTGAATTCAAATCTAAAGTTGGCTTCTGAATGAACTTTCCAAACAGAAATAGTTAAAGGGCGAGTCCTCCCAATTTTTTACAATTTTTTGAATTGTAGTTTAAAAACTACAATTCAAGACGCCCCAACTGTGACAAGAACATTCTGCCAGTCAAACCATATGTAACCGGGTCTATATTAGTAGTTGTATATTTCTTTAATATCTTTAACGTATTTGTCCGCTTAAACTTGACTGTCCTTGTGTTCCTCTGTGTCTGCTATAAGGGCTTTGGTCCTCCAGCTCCACTAAAAAAAAGAAGAAGAAGAAGTTCTTCTTTTTTTCAGGATCCTCCAGGACTGTTAAGTCTATTAAGTTAGTAATTTTCTCTTCCCTTTTGTTGTTCGTTCCCCTGGGGAGAGGCAAATTTTATAATCAATTGGAATCCTTTCATTTATATTTTTCAAATGTTTGTTTTTCTTTCCATATTAATAATAGGTGTTTGAATATTTTTATTTATTTTATTTTAAGTACAAAACTAAATATTAGTTCTCCGTATTGAATAAGAATAAGTACTCCTAAACTCCTAGTCGGAGTTTCTATGGATCTTAAGTTTGTTCTGAATTCACCAAAAGAAAGACGAAAAGGTCAAGTACAAAACTAAATATTGCTTCCACAGGTATGGAGGAATTTTTCTGCCATAATTCAAGAGCACACATTATCATTCCGAAAGCATTATCATTATCATTGTCTTTTGTTCCCAAAACCATTTAATACTTTTTATTTTGAAAGCAGGACTTAATATCTTTCTTCTCAAAACTTGTAATGATTGTACTCAAAAGTTCTTCTCGGACTCAGTCTCTGCTCTGAATAAATGTTTAGAACAGATAAATGTGTGAATGTACCAAAACTTTCTCCAGGTGAACAGAAACAAAACTGAAGTCATTATTTTTTGACCTAAAGAGGAACAATCTAGAATCAATGCATAGTTTCAGTTATTACAAATAAAAACTAGCGATCAGGCCCGAAACCTGGGAGTAGTGATGGACTTGGACTTGAACCTTTCGAGCCACATAAAGACAGTTACAATGTTGGCCTTCTATCACCTGAAGAACATCTCTAGGATGTTTCATCTCAGCCAGATCTAGAGAAACTCATCCATGCGTTTATCTTTAGTCGCATTGATTATTGTAACAGCGTCTTCACAGGCCTGTCCAACAAATCAATCAAACAGCTGCAGCTGATCCAAAACGCTGCTGCTCTCATTCTCACTAAAACCAGGAAGATAGAGACATAACACCAGTTTTAAAGTCCCTCCACTGGCTCCCTGTAGCTCAAAGAATAGATTTTAAAATACTGTTGTTAGTTTACAAATCACTGAACGGTTTAGCACCACAATACTGCTGTTGTTGTTTCAACCTTCCAGACCTCTCAGGTCTTCTGGTTCTGGTCTGCTTTGCATCCCCAGAACATCACTTGCAAAACTCTGTGTCATGATGCCTTGAACTTTCCGAACCCACATGCAAAGACACCCTCTGGTGATCAGATTTAAGATTTATTTACAAAAGACAAATGACGGATTATGGTCGGGAGTGGAAGCCGGGTTGGGTATGTTGGTGATCTGCAGGCAGATTTGACAGGCGAGAATCCGGTGATGAGAAAACTGCTCCAGAGAACTGATCTTATTTGTAGGAGTTGAATGGTCTGTCTGGCGGAGTAGTTGGACCAGTGTGAGCGGGCGGCGGTGGATTCAAAACTGAACCGTAACCTCGAGACAGGGCGGCGATCAAGCAGCAGGTTAGTAGGCATAACTTGTCAGGGCGAGTGCAGTGGAGTGGGGTTTAGAGGGGGCCAACTGAATCCTCAGATGGAATTTGCCAATCCCGTACTTTCATATAGAGTGTTAAGCCTAGGAATCACAGAGAAAGGTACAGGACAGGTAAGTATGTGAAACAGACAGCATCACTTCTAGGAATATCAGAACCAGATGTACCACAAAGGCGTAAACACTCTGGCGACGAAAAGCCAGAGTGTTTACGCCTTTGTGGTACATGCTCCTATTGATGATCCAAGTGGAAAAGTCGTGTGTGACATCGCCTGCCGAGCTCAAGAACGCCACCTAGAAGGAAACCAGAGGGACTGCCGAAGCCGCAGATCCTGACACTCTGCTTGCTTGGTGGAGTTTTTTCTGTCATAATCCAAGAGCACACAATTTCAATTTGAAAGCTGGATTCATGTCTTTTTTCTCAAAACTCCTCACAGTCAGACTTAGTCTCTTATCAAATTATCTGCTCACAGTTAGAAATCTCTCAGTCAATAAAATAAAAGCATTGTACTGGGTGCATTTGTTTCCTTAAGTGCCAAGGCTACTGTTA